CCGGGCAGGAGCCTGCTGGACTGGGCCGGCGGATGGCAAGCGCAGGGTGCGTTTCTGGGCCGAGGCCGCGCTCTGGTACCGGAGGAGGTCAGGGCGCGGCAGCCGGCGGGCGGTGCTGAGCCCAGGCCAGCGCTCCCGTGGGCCTGGGGTGTGCTGACCCTGCCCCGCACCCCCAGCACCTCCTTTGGGGTGTTCTCGGTAGCTGAGGCCCACGCCCGTCGGCCTTTCTGCGGCAGGCGCTGGGCCAGGCCCTCGGAGCCTCGGAGTCTTTCTGAGCCCTTTGGCTTTTCCCTGCCTTTGACTTAGAGGTTCCAGAACTGTCTTTCTTATATTTCCACGCATTTCCTGGGGAGGCAATGAGGCCAGGCGCGGCCAACCTCCTCCGGCTTGGCTCCTGTGCCCAGAGGGCAGCGACCTGCCCCGGGCCTGGGAGCGGACAGGGGTCTGCACACCCATGGCTCAGCAGGCCCCCAGGGGGCGGTGCCCCCCCCACCCCCCGCACTGGCTCCTCGCCTTTCCCTGCTCAGCTCCGCTCAGCTCGAAGGTGGCGTTTGAGGGCCTCCGAGTACGCTGGGGGCAGCCGGCGGCGTCCGCCACCCTCTTCTTCCTCACCCAGAATGGCCACCCTTCCCCTGCGCAGACTGAAGGGCTCTCTGGTTCGGGGGTGCTCCCTCTGTGCAGCCCTGGCCCTCCTCCCGCGGGAGAGTTGAGGGACCGAGCCGAGCCTCTGCGCCCAGCAGGCTCGGCGGTGGCCTTGAGCGAGCTGGGTCATCTCCCTGAGCCTCAGTGTCTTCGCCTAAAAATAGGAACAATAATAGCCGCCTCGCTGGGGTGCTTGGGGATTGGTGATGACGTCAGACAGAAGCCCGGCTCCCTGCGGCCTGCGCGTAGTAGGAGCTCAATAAACGCAAGGGTGATTAGCAGCTATTACAGGCCTTGTTGACGTGTCCGCCTCAGGTGCCAGGCTGCCCCGTGGGTGACACCCAGATCCCCCGAGCCCCGGGGCCTCTCCCAGCTTGCCCCCCTCCCCGCAACCCCCCAGTCCTGCCGTCATGGCGCAGGCTGTGGCAGCCGGGGCAGGGTGGCCTGGCCGCCTGGGGGTGCTCGCTGCTCTCTGCCCCAGCTGCGGAGGGGTGGGGGTCGCAGGACCTAAAACAGTCGGGGTTTGGCAGGCCCTGGAGCCGCAGGGGCTTGGGGGGCGCTGGCCTGGGCAGGGAGGTGGCTGCCGTGGCCGAGGGGGCAGGGGCCCCTTGCCACAGCCCAGGTCCTCACCTGTCGTGTCCAGCGCACAGGAGCGGCCTCCCAGAGGCCTCCCTCTGCCCTGCGGACCCTCTGCCCTGGCCCCGCCCTGCTGGGAAGGGAGCTGAGGCCTGGAGCGACCGCTGTGCCTGCCCACCTTTACAGTCTCCGGGCGCAGAAAGCCTTAGAGACTACACGGTCCATTCTCAGCACCAAGCCTGACCCCTTCAGAAGTTCCTGACCGCGGACTCTGCCCAGCGGTAGCTGGGCCGCCCCAGCAGGCTAAGGAGCGCCGGGCCTGGAAGGGTCCCCTGTCCCCTCCGGCGGGGCCCGCTCCCCGCTGAGCCTCGTGGGCCAGGTGCTGCCCGGGGAACCCCCGTTCTGAAGCAGACTAGTGGCTGGGTGTCCCCTCCCGGAGCCGCCTCAGTCAGCCACGCCTCTGTCCTCAGGGGCCAGGAGACCTAAGTCTGTCACGGAAGGACTTTCAACCTAGCAACCCAGGTCGCGGCGTGCACGAGGAAGCTGGGCAGCGGTCACCGCCAAGGCCGCTCGGCAGCCGCGGCACGCCCTCCGCCCCTGCCTGCCGCCGGCTGGTGACCAGCCCTGGCCCAGGGGCCACGCTTGCTGACGCCACACTTATGGTATCTCCCGGGTCATGTTCTCTGTGTTTTCGGACAGCCCCCCCCCGCACCCCCCACAGGGGGGCCTTCAAATCGACTAAATTGTTTCATGATTTCGCTTTCTCCTGGTGGTAAAAATGACACATGCTGCTCGTAGAGTGGAAACGCAAGCCGCGGCCACAGCCCTCGGGGGCCGGGGCTCCCCAGCCTGGGCCGGCCCCTCTTCAGTCTGAAGGTGGGGCCCCGCCCTGCCCGGCGCTGGGCTCTCGGGTCCTCGCTGTGTTTCCCGTTCTCCTGGCAGCTCCCCTGGCTCGAGGGCGGCGACAGAGCCCCCCGGCCCCCCTATGACGCGGTGGGATGCTGCTGCCCCTCTCTCGGGGCTCCAGGCCGCCCTCTCCCCAAACACCACTGTCCTCTTGTTCACAGTCTGTTTTCCTGCCCCCCTGGGCCCCCTCTCCAGGAGCCAGGAGCCCTGTTCGGGACCCGAGCGGGCCCGTGTGGTCGGCCGCGCCTGCCCTCGCCCCGTCTCCACCCTGCGCCCCACGGGAGTGCCTGTCTGCCAGTGAGGGGCCCTCTCCTTGCTCCCTTGTTCTCATGGTGCCCGTTCTGTATCGGGGGCCCTTGAAAGGGAGCACTGGGTGGGGCTGTCCCTACAAGGGGGGGGCTCACCAGGTGTGCCCCACCTTTGGGCGCTTGTGAGGAGCCTGAGGGAGCCCCAGGGCCCTGCGCCCCCAGGCACGCAGCTGGGCCTTCTGCACTGGGAGGCGCAGGGTGGCCGGTGGGGGCAGCCCTCTGCTCCTGGCTGGCTGCGGAGGGCTCTGGGCTTCCCCGCGGACCGGCCCTCCTCTCTCCTCCAGGCCCGCCCTCCTCCCGCCTCCCTCCAGGATGGATCCTCATACGGGGTGAGCCTGGCCTCCCCCCTCAGCAGGCAGAGGTGTGACTGAAGAACTGGGCCGGGACTTGGGGACCAGGGGCCCCTGTGCCATCAGGTCACCCCGCGTGAACCGGGTGAGTGATGGGGCGGCCAGGTACCTGCTGCCTTCCTATCTCAGTGCCTCGGGGCCCTGCCCCCACCCAGCACAGCCCAATGGCTGCCGGGCACTCTCCAGCCCCAGCGCAGTGAGTGGCGCCCCTGCTTCTCTGGCCTGGGGGTCAGAGCTGCGCTGGCCTCAGAAGGGGAAGGGGCTGGGAGAACCGTGTGTTACACTCGGGAGGGAGCCGGCCCTTGGGCAGCACACGGGACTCCACCCCC